GGCCCAAGCGGTTAGTCGCTGGCTTCCCACCTCGGCGGCCCGGGTTCGATCCCGGGTCTAGTCAAGTGGGATTTGTGGTAGACAAAGTGGCGCTGGGGCAGATTTTCTTCGAGTACTTCGGTTTCCACTGCCAATCTTCATTCTACCAATTGCTCCACAATCACCCTCACCTATCATCTGGGGCTGGTACAATAAGCCAGAAGTGGCCGCAGTACAAGGGACTTAGTCCCACCCCACTAGCAATAAAAAATAATAGTTTAATAAATTATTTTAAACAACACATATCCAATACGTCCTCATGGTGTGATGCTTAATTATTTTTTTTCCTTGGAATTACAGCCCCATTAGGCGTAGGCCTGCCTCCATGAACTTATGTGTTCACTTCGGTTTTTCTAGATCTTACACATTCGGTAGGACTCCTTGGGCGGGTGATCAGCTCGTCGCAAGGCATCTACCTGTATGCAAACTTAGGCGTAGGCCTGCCTCCATGAACTTATGTGTTCACTTCGGTTTTTCTAGATCTTACACATTCGGTAGGACTCCTTGGGCGGGTGATCAGCTCGTCGCAAAGCATCTACCTGTATGTAAACACAGAAAAACGCACACACACAAACTAAACATCCATGCCCCGAGTGGGTTTCGAACCCACGATCCAGGTTTCCAAGCGAGCGAAGACAGTACATGCCTTAGACCGCTCGGCTACCGTGACCTGCGCTTAATTAATTAAGTATAGGAATGATTTTAGCTTTAAGTGTCAATTATGAAAATCAATTGATTTGGCCTAAATTGTGGGCAACTACAGAATCGATATATCGCTGTTAACTATAACGATTCCAGAAGAAGTATAAATTAACTGAGTTACCAAATATATATACGGTATATATATATAATGACACTAACTAACTAGATGAAGCAGAAGCCAAATATGCAATAAGCTAGACAAGAAACTCCCAGCCTTTTATGAAACTCAAAGTTACATTAGACTGATTGATTTATACCCTGAGCCAGAACTTGAGCCACTTTCTCACAATCCATTGCCTTCAGGTACACTCCAATAGTATTGCCTAATTCACGCCTATATAACCTAAGTAGGCTACTACATTTCGGTTCTTTGACTAACATTTTATATGAATCCCTAACCCCCTCCTAATCCCTTCAATTAATCACCCAAATATTATATGCTGAAAAGTACAAACTATGGTACTCATAATCACATAGTTTTTTAGCCTCCTGTTAGTTTCTTTCTCTTAGACGTATAATTTAAATCCAATTACCAGCCTGAAGTTAAGATTTTAAAAGGATATCTCTCATTAAAGCCGACAAATTCGATAGAGTCCAATAGGTGATTCGGTGTAGTGACTAGTTTTCGGGCTGGATGATTGAGGTGTGGGGGTTCAGTTCCCAGCAGGTACATAAATTTTGCAATTCTTCACAGCGTCCAGCCTCCTGTATGAGGGACGCCGTGGGTCCGTTCTCTGGGATTTGGGCTGTTGCTGCGTGAATCTGACCACTGACCTCTGTCTGGAGTAGAGGTGGAGCTGTAACTTCACTCCCCGTTAAGTCTTCCTGGCATGGTGCTTAATTAAGCTGAAGCGGGTTTATTCCGGAACAGTCCACCGTGCCACTGTCCTTCAGTCCGTGCCAAACTTCTGTTGTTTGTATAAAGCCTTCGGTTCCTATGCCATCCGATGCAATAAGAAGTGTTTCCCTGATAATACACGGTTTGTCGGGTTACTGTTCATCCCTTCCGATAGCAGTATGGACACAAGAAAGAAGGTTCTTTGTTGTGAGCTCTTGTGATGTTGCTATTCACTTATCGAATACCGCGGTTTCATTACCATTAAGAGAAAAGCAAGGCAGTATCCTGCCGTATCGACTCAATTATTCATACCGAAGAGAAGCGGCTCAGAATTATCTGCTTGCTATAATATAAATATGAAGAAGTCGTCTTTCTTACCGACGGGCTTTGTGCACTCGGGTAATGCTTGCTACCATTCAGTCCAGAATATTTTGACTTCTCGTTTGCTATTCAAAAACATAAAAATTAGAATGTAAAAAAAAATTAATTTTCCCTATAGTTCTATATGGGTGTGAAACTTAGTTTCTGACATTAAGAGAGGAACATAGACTGAGGTGTTTGAGAACAGTGTGTTGAGGAGAATATTTGGACTGAAGAGAGATGAAGTGACAGGAGGTTGGAGAAAACTGCATAATGGGGAGCTTCATAACTTGTACTCTTCTCCAAGTATAATTAAAATGGTCAAGTCAAGGAGGATGAGATTGACATCGCATGTAGCACGACTGGAGGAAAAGAGGAATATATGTAGGATATTGGTGGGAGAGTCGAAAGAAAAGAGACGACTGGGAAGACAAATACATAAGTGGGTGGACAATATTAAAATGGATCTTAGAGAGATAGGATGGGATGATATGGATTAGATTGATCTGGCTCAGGGTAGGTACCATTGGAGGGCTCTTGTGAACACTGTAATGAACCTTCGAATTGCATAAAATGCTGGGAAGTTCTTGAATAGCTGCACAAATGGCGACTTCTCAAAAAGGGCTCAGCTCCATGAGTGACTGTGCACCCTGCAGATGTCTGTAGAACATAAAATAAGACAATATGAACTTCGGTGGACATGTTATACTGCACAGTGTGTTCAGAAGTACAATGCCGATTTTAAATCTATGTGTTGTGTCACAAAGGAGACAAAAATACTTTTCAGTACTGGGATCTGCAACGTGTTATGCACTCCACTGGGAAAATTAAACCGTTTGTTTCAGTTCATTACTTCAGAAATAGTTCACAGCCGTCAAGGAAGAACAGTAGACACCATATAAACATACACAAATCAATACGAGTGTTGTATAACACAATTCGTGAAGAGGAATATAAGAACCACTAATGTCAACATTTTCTTTTTCTGTCAGTTTCATCTGTGGGTTATTTCTCTTTTATTAATACACGGAAGCAAAACATCTGTGAGACTTCGTAATTTTAATATTACACAAAATTCCGCTACGTCTTGGTGCAGATAAAAAAATCTCCAAAATTGTCCACGGACACAAAAGTGCTATCAGAAGTTTTTCATATAAAGTAATATTTCTTGTAATAACTAATATCTCATGACTTTGTTATTCTGTATATGCCTGACTGAACCTGTTATAATTGTCTTTCTATATGACATAGTGATTCACTTCTTACCCATGTATACTGGATGCTGACTATGTACTTCGTTTAGTAGGGGGTGGAGTCCAGCTGTGTCCACTCGGCACGGCGGTCACTGATTGGTGATTATGATGATGGAGAATTTGGCGGAATGAAGATTGGTAGGGAAACCGAAGTACTCGGAGAAAACCCGCCCCACCACCACTTTGTCCACCACAAATCCCACTTTACTAGACCTGGGTTCGAACCCGGGTCGCCGCGGTGGCAAGCCAGCAACTAACCGCTTGAGCTATGGCGCGGACTTGTCTATGTACTTTCTAGGATGTGTGATTTAAAACATCTATACAGAAGAATCAATAATAAAAATCGAACTACTGACCTATTTCTAACTTTCTGTGAGCAACATCAGCCACTAAAAATGTGACTGATTTACAGGCTAGTCACATTTCTTGTTGAGAGAGGTTCCCATCTGCAGACCTGTCCCAGAAATGAACGTCCTTTATATCCGGCAACTTATACGATCCGACTAATTAGTCTTCGTTGTGGAACTTGATATTCCGCCTCAGGCGGCAAATCCATTAAATAGGCATAAATGTTATACAGATAAATTCTAGATTGTTGAATAGTATATGAGATTCAGTGGTCTTATTACGCTTCGTTAAAATGTATCGCTGTCTTTTATAAATTCTTCTCGAGTTTACCAGGTCGAGTTTGACAAGATAAGAGAAAGTTTCTGTTAGTTCTGAATGGTCGTCCTGTTGAGGAAAGAGGTTTATAGCTTCACACTAATATTAATGGAAACTCAAAATATTACGAGAAATCGTACATCGATCCTGTGTCAGACGAGAGATGTTGAGTTTGAGATGCATGAATTTGAAAGTATAGAAGAAACGAAGGATTAACATTTCAAAGTAATACGGTAGAACAATGATATTTCAAAGAACGCTGTTCAGAAGAAAACAGGAAGACGTAGTGAAAATGAAAAGCAGAAGATTATTATGAATTCAGCTGTTGTAATGCAGCTGGTGCGATGTCCGCATCAACTGGACAGAGTTAAGCTTTCTCTCTTCTCTATCTTATTTCTGATCTTCTGTTTGCTTTGATTTCACCTAAGCTTCAGAAGCTTGGCACGTGGGTTGTGTGGTCATATATGAAAACTTATAAAACCGTAAGTCACCTCACACTTTCTACATAACCTCAATTGTAATTACAAGTCAACGAATTGTACTTTCCAAAATACGATATAACCCGTTGCTTGGAGTTATTGCTATTGTAATCATGCATAGAAATTATTTGAACGCGTTTGCGTAATGTAATCTTCTCTTCTGTAGGCCTATCCGATGGATGAGGGGAGGAGTGAAGAAGATAATATAACGATTTGACTAACGCAGTGATTTTCTTGAAATGAACGTTTATATTAAGTGTTGTCCAGTGGCGTAGAATCTTCAAAAATAAAAACAGTGTTATCCACGTGATTGAGCACAACTTCATGTTTAGAATTGTTGGTTCAAATTTAAAACTATCCCTGTAACAGGCCATGGAGGCCCATAGGATTGTGAGATATTGAGGCTCCCACATTATCTAGACAATCGGATCAGAGATGTCAGTAAGGCTGTCAGCCTTACGGGCCGGACGTCTTTACCCCCAGGAAATTTCCTGGTACTCATTTCTGTTAGAGTCTAAGTCGACCCCAGAGTCATACTGCAGCTGGAAGGATTATGTCAACTGAAAAATCCAGTGGCCTCATTGGGATTCGACCCCGCGACCTTCCGGCTTGTAGAATAGTGCCTCAATCAATTACACTACCACGTGCCGCGATATTTTGTTAATATTTTCTCTTTGTGAATGATAGATACGCCACGTAAATGTCGGACTCATGTTTTTTAGAGTTAGGATTTCAATTAGTACAATAGGAAATACAGCCTGTACGTCTAAAATAATATCACTTACAAGCACGTGATCATACATTTTATTTACTAGCAGGGTCAAAATATATGATTAACTGCTCGTTTAACAAGTGGGGCGGATGGAATGAAAATTAAATACAGGTAACCAGACTTCTGTTCGTATTGAATGAATGAATGTATAAGTAGTGGGCCTTCTCGGCATTCGAAGCGCAGGGTTGCTGAGGGGATAATCAAAATGGGAAGCACAATACATCACTACAGGTCGTGGTGCAAGGACCGAGAAGGCCCACCTCTTATACATTCATTCATTCTTCTGTTCACACATCCTGGTCGACATCTGTCCGACAAGAAGACAGCCTGCGGATGTTTGTACTGCACAAAGTACTGGGGCTACATATTGGGATGAATATTTGCCACTGGCACATAGTGTCAAATTTTGACTATATAGTGACTGTATTATAAGAGACATTTATTGGCATGTTCCCACAAGTTTGTTTGAGTGTCAATATTAAAAAGAAATCTGCTTTTTTTAAAAGTCCAATACGACAAATGCTACTCAGAATTTTATTTCATAAAAGTAGGTAAGCGTGTATTTTTTCTAACGCCACGAAACAGTACATTTCTTGGGATACAAATGAGGAAACCTCCCGACTTTTACTACCCCGAAGGCTCGGTCTATTCTCTCTCGCATGTTCTTCTCTTAAGACCCATTTCAATTTGATCTCATCTACGTCTAGGTCTTTCACGTGAGTCTTTACTTCAGGCTTTCCTAGTATAATTTTGTACGAATTTCTCATGTTAGTTACAATTCCTGTCTATTACCCTCGATCCGAATACCCCAACCAAAAATTTGGTGAAGAATAGAAAATTAAGACGCTCATTCTTACCTGCGTTTCTCCAGTCTCCTCTTTTTATGTTCCAAATATTTTTCCTCTGAAAATTTATTTCTGATTAAATTAAAAATTGTGCTTATTTGCCAGAGAATGCTTACATCTGCTATAAGTTTATTCATTTCATTTGTTCGCAGGCTTATCCCAGATATCATTTCAATTACGGCGTGAAGGATTATCACACAGGTGACCTCAAGAGCCAGTGGGAACAAAGAGATGGCGATAAGGTGAAAGGGTCCTACAGCGTCCTTGAACCGGACGGTTCGGTTCGCACGGTCGATTATACAGCCGATGATCTTAACGGCTTCAATGCGGTTGTCAAGAGAACTGGCCCATCACGACATCCTGTGTCGAAACAGGTTTTTTCCAGTCAACACGTGGTAGAACCCTTCCATTCAGTACCAGGCCAACTTTCACCGACAATTTCAATTCCTAAAGACGTGTTACCAACAAAATCACCAAGTTACATTCCCCAGGTTTCAGATTACTCCGCAGCACTTCAAATTCTCCGTACAGGAAAACAACACTATTCTCCAGATACTGGCGCACTAAGTGTATATAACATACCTGGTGGGCTAAACTTATACGATTCGCCAACATACAGTGCCCAGACTTTACAGGCAGATGACTCAGAACCGGCTGCCAATCCTGGTCCAGTTCTGTTCCCTCAGACACCGGAAGAGCCACAGAATGAAAGTTCGGATCAAAAACAGAAGACGCTCTCATTCGGCAGCGTTCAGAGTCACGAAGGGACACAAAATCTCGCGAAGATATATCGTGATTTTCTCAGAACGCGGCCTGGGAGAAATGGCCGTGTTTAAGAAGTGGAGGGCAGTGGGTTGTCCACTTGGTATTATTATTTGTACAGCGCGGCTTGACTTCAAGTAATTGATACAATCAAACACGAAGCGTATTATGTGATATATTAATACAAAGGAAATTAATGATTATAATACTTGATGCGCTGATCATAAAACCTTAACACTGAAACAGGACAGGGTCTATTCGGCAGCGCAACAGCACACAGATACAAAATGAGCTCTCATAAAAGTGTTCTTCTCTTCTTGTCTGAGGAAATTACAAACAAACTAGGCTCGTTAGTAAGTATTATGTTGTATGTCATTTGTTTGTGTCACCATTTGAGTTTAAATTTGCATCCTAAAGCATTGTTGAAGCAATATTTATGATCCACACACTTGGAAATATTCTATTCGGTGGTTATTTCTAGAAAATATCATCTACAGCTAGAAATATGTCTACCTGTTACCTCAGAAACACGTGATCGCAGAATGAAGCAGTGTTGCCACAAGAATTGAAGTATGTAACATAGAAAATTCACTCGGACATAAGGAGTCTCACAGAAAACTAACGAGACTGACTAAGGGGGTTACTTTATGGTCGATGACGAATATTACCTCCCATATGTACATATCTAAACTCTACGCAAAAGTAAACTTGTCTTGACAAGTCTAGTGAGTTCAGGGCTGTTGTACTCTAGTGTCCAGAGAGCTCATCACGATAAATATGGTAAATATTTTTAACAGGATCAATATGAAATATTTGTAATGTTATATTTTAGCGTCCTGTTGCACTGATTTATATTCATGATTTATTCTGACCGTCTTACAGTGCATACATTTATTCACCTTACTCTTCTCTCTTGCACTACATGTTTCAGCACAAAAGTGCCATCTTCAGGTGCTTTTTTGTGCTGAAACATATAGTGCAAGAGAGAAGAGTAAGGTGAATAAATGTATGCACTGTAAGACGGTCAGAATAAATCATGGACATGAAATATTTGTTCGGATTTGAAAAAAAAAACAACAGAAATCTTTAAAAGTATTAAAAAAAATAAGGTGAAGAGGTTTTATTCTTATCAGGGGCACAGCTAAAAGTTTCTCCGACCAAAGGAACGAAACTGATTTTGGTAGCTGATCTGGACGTTCAACAATATCAGATTCGGAATAAAAAGTCGATAAATGAGAATAATGTTGCAGAATGACAGGCGTCTTGCCGTCAGAACAATTGCAGAAAACTGAATATAAATAGAGTGTAAGATTGATTTTGACAGCCATAACTGTTCCCAGATCAGTGGATCCTTCTCCACGATAGAGCACTCTCACACACATCAATTCCAGTTAGCAAATTTTTGGCGAAATAAACGATCGTATTTCTAGAACACGCATCTTACTCACATTATATTGCTCCGAGTGAATTCTTGCTCTCTTCTGCCTTGAAGAATCTTCTCAAGGAATCACGTTAGGGGAACATGTAAGAGATTCAGAAGGTTACGACAACCATTCTAAAGAACGTACACGGGAATGAATTCCGGAAATACTACGACAGTTTAAATCAGAGCTGGAGTTCGTGTACACCTGCATGAGGAAACCCATTTGCAGGAGACCACTGCAACTCAGTAAGATCTGATACAGTGCTGCCTGTGAGTGCATCCTCGTTACTTAGTTGTCGGAACTCGTATTTGGTTTCCTACGGCACAACACAAATTAACACTTGCACTTAATCTTCAGTCTTAAAGCTTTTGTTATTTTATAACTGAGCCATAATATTGTTAAGTTGTTTTTAGTATAACTTACATTAGAATTGTCGCAAAGTGCAGAAATCACATAAGTAAACCTCGAATAATTAACCGAAGGTTAGAGAAATTATTTAATTAACTTCATAACATTATGTTAGATATTCTAGTTACATTGGATATTCACAATATTTCGGGAACTGACTCCACTCCTGCGTTCGAGTGTCGTTGTCACAATATGCCTACTGACAGACCCACCTCATCTGACTGTGCGACCAAACATGGAACATTTTGAATGTTACATCGGTATGTTAACCACTGGCGAAAACAGAATATAATGTATGAAATATAGAAAAGAACTAATTATAGAATGGTTGTTAGTACAACGACGTCTAGTCCCCTTAAGCGGGGAGTAGAGATAGATCTTAAAACTTCGTGTAAATATACCATATCACAGGGGTGAGCAAAACATGAAAAAGTAGTTCGGGAGCAAGACAGACCTAGGCAAAAGATACACAATACACAAAAAATAACTAAGCAATTAAGCACATTTCACTACTGAAAGTTGAATAATAATAAAAGTGAAACTGTCCATTGAAGATACAAACTGATATATACTCGTACAAACTTAACAGTACACCGGTGCTTTGACTTAGACATTGGATAGAGACAAATCTGATGTAACATTTGAGAGGCTTGTCACACTGGTGGTCGTACTGAACCCGCAAATCTGTTCAGCAAGAGAATTATTGTACACAAAACGCATCTTTGTACTGGCATGTCGATTTTGATGAAAAATTCATACTTTTTTAATCTACACTTTGAATTAAGTATGAAGAATGATATCATATTCGTGCATAGACGCTAATTCCCAGTGATGAGGCAGGATTTTTGATAAACACACACTTTGCCTGAGTATAAAACGGGCACATTACCTGCAGGAACAGAGCTGAAATAAAATAAGAGAGAAAATTAATTTTATTGGGAATTTAAACCTCAGTACTAATTTTTGTTCTAAATGAAATACATGTTTTTAAGAAAATCATTATAAACCGCTAAAAATAGTGATACATGTACCTTGAACTATTTCATTCACCAAAGACGGGCAGGTTTTTTATGTATAACCGGAGTGCAATATTTTTATTAGTTGTAGTTTCATTATATTTTACAATAAAGCAAAATTATATATGAAATTTTAAATGTGTCATACTTTAACCTGTGCCACACCCGAATTTCCACATGATCACTTCTTATCTTATTAGGTCCTACTTCAGTCTCCAGTACCTTACCATTTTGTGAGATTGTGGTGGATGAAGCGCAACTGCATCAAACAATTCGTTGCTTAGGTTTGCTAGCCGTTGCATAGCAATGGACGCGTTATGATTCAAAATATTCCGACCTTTTGCGGCATCCCACATTATTATTATTATTGATTCACAAATCTAATACAATGGATACAGTTGCTATACATATTCTAGGTATAAATTTGAAAGTGTATTACATAAACACAAAACAATGATTACTGAAATTCAAAAACAGGAATATGCAACTCTCCTTCACAACGCAATCGAAATTTGAAAGAAAGCGAAAAGTTAAATGTTTCTCAATGTTTAAAGTATTATTACGTAAATATAATATTACGACAGATAAATTCTCCCTGCGTAACAACTTGACGAAACAAAACGTCACCACGCTCTAGTTAATACGCGTTTACTTTTATGACACACAGCCTGAGCTATGTTCATAAAAGCATGCGATATGCTTTGTGAAGTATGAGCCTGTCATGCGGGTGACTATCTCTCGGAGTGTGACGCAGTTTAATCTGGCAGAAGTTTATCTTGTTTCGGAGGAACCTACTGTCTCCATCTTCAAAGCTGGATAGGAAAGCAATTGACAAGTAGTAATTTTCATTAACAATTTGTCCCATGGGATATGTGGTTATGCCATAGTCTGATATATAAGCAACAAATTGACTGACTGACTGACTAGTACTATGGTAGAAAAGCCGGAAGGATTATCATCGCCTTTACAACGTAAACATGAGCCTAACGCAGTTCCATCAACCTGCCACTTCGCAATGTGTTTCCGTTAGGAACGTCTCATGGCACACCCCAGTCTGTTCCTCACTTTTCTAGCAGGCCAATTCCTGGAGATCTCTCCACCAGAATCATGTGCATACGCTCCTTGTCCATCAGATCCGAACCACCAGCACATCACAGCCCCCTAGACTTCAACGTCACACCAACACAGGCGGTTTGCACAAATCATAATGCTCCTCGCTATACGTGTATGATATCGCCTTTACTTCATTCTTCTTGGGAACAAATGTGTTCTCATTTGTATGCCTCTCTCCTTATTTCGAAAATGTGGAAGCTGAATTAAGAGAAGGCCACGCTGCGTGCGTGTTCGTGTTCCGCCTAATAACGTCTGAACACCTGAACCGATATTTATGAAACTTGGTTAGAGTATCATACCACCTGAGGCCATTTTAAAGCTAATTATATAAATATCTCCCCTGAGTAATACCAACTCTGCAGCCATTCAAACCGTATTATTTTACTGAATTCATTACACATAAATACTATTTTTTCTGCTTGCTATGTAAATAAAAGTAAGCGACTAGTTCTTCTATATCTGTAATGCTTGTTTTCTTTCAAGTAAGAAACCGAGCTTTACATCCATATAAAACAGCGAGAAAGAATCTACTGGTGTGAAATTTATATTTTTTGCATCTCATAGCCTTTAACGTGTTTGTTAACACAGATCAATTCGATGTGTGTTCTGAACTTGTTTTAGTAAAACTTCGAGAAGAAACTTAGATAACTTCTCCTTATTTTTATCACAGCGTCCACCCAGACTACTTGGCAAATTTCGCCTTTGATCTGTACGGTTGATTGAATACACATTTTTCTTAGTCAACTGGATCTCGGTCTAGTTTTATAATCTTAAGCGACATAAATGAACATCACGTAATATCTCTGACAGATTTTGACGAAATTTAATGCAAGCCACTTTCATTAAATGTGTGTAAAGATGAATTCATATTATTAATTTTACCTATAGGAGCAAGACGTAGTTAAACTTTTACATATATTTCTGGTCCTTTGAAAGAATTTTGTGAAACACGATGTAAGACTTCTGTTAAATGTGGTTTGCCATATGCGAGTATTATTCATGTTAACTTATTTTCAGAACACTTATACTCAAGAGCTTGAGATCTACTTAACCATGTACATACATACGGAGTAGCCCGAAACTCAGGTAACGAAACATGTTCACTCGTATTAACCGGAACATTCAGATTCAAATCTGCCAGTCAACTTGTAGAGCAGTATCACAGTGATGAGTTGTGCACTGAATATGGACGACCTCATTTCGAAAACATTTTCTAAATTCGGTAAGTAATAAAGGAGCTTCTAACCTATTTTCGTGTAAACTTTACTAACCACTTAGCTGACTTTGGACCGTTCTACTAGTACATTTTAAGTTCTTTTGTAGATTTAGCAAAACTAGATATACGTCATATGCAAAAACAATTTTTTAACATATATGAGTTTAATTCAACTGAATCCACAATCAGAGCCATTCTGCTTACAACAAAGTAAGTACCCGAAGTGAAATTTCCCTAGAGATATACGTGTACATGTTTCTACGGCAGTGAATCTTGGCTGGAACTTTACTGCGGCGTGCTAGTCACAACAACGGCTTGACTTCTGTGAGTCGGTCAATGAAGTCTCGTTTGTAGAGAGATGGTGACTATCTGCTCAGTTGCTCTTCCAGTCACTGCCCTTCAGCTACTGCTACATGTGACTCTATCTGCTCAGTTGCTCTTCCAGTTACTGCCCTTCAGCTACTACTACATGTAACTCTATCCGCTCAGTTGCTCTTCCAGTCACTGCCCTTCAGCTACTACTACATGTGACTCTATCTGCTCAGTTGCTCTTCCAGTCACTGCCCTTCAGCTACTACTACATGTAACTCTATCCGCTCAGTTGCTCTTCCAGGCACTGCCCTT